TTTTGAAGATATTGAAACTTAGATGGATTTTCCCCAAATCACATGGCCAATAAATGACAGAGGTAGGGTTTGAGTCCAGATCTGATTCCACCATGTTATAGAGATTTGTTAAATTTTAAAGATTTCAATAAACTATTTAGAAAAACTCTTTGAAACACAGTAGATTTTTATGCATCTGGAATTGTTTAAATATGAGAGTCCTAGAAGCAGGGAAAATAACTATATAAGTCTTTGAGACTCTTTGCAATGTTTAGAATCTCAGTTTAACAGGTGATGCTAAGTTCATTTTATTTTTTACTCAACAGAAGCTACTTAAGAGAAAAAAGATCTGATTTTGAATATTAGCATAAAGCTATTAAATGCTAATTTTCTTTACAAAGTATTAAAAATTCTGGATCGGTGCTTACAATCTAGCAAGTGTACATGCTATAAAGCACCTGTCTACTGCAGTATAAATGTAGTTTTCACAGTGACCAAAGATAATTTTTCTGTTATTGTAAGTATGTTGACACTGTTTTTATATCATCTTTGGTTTGTAATGATGACTCATGAAAGCCTCCACATATGAATACAAATATCAACATAATTCACATATTTATAATTTTGAAAGAACAAGGAAAGCACCGTGATATTGTGGAAACATCATTGTACTTGGAGGAGGAGATCTGGGCTTTGTCCTCATGTTGCCATAAGGTATGTATGTATGTAGATCTGGATAACCCATTCAATCTCTCTAGAGCCAAGTCTCTTCAGTAATAAAATTATAGGGTTGGATCAGGTGATCTACAGGGTCTTTCCGATTTTAAGGTTAACAATCATCGTGATGAGGGAATACTAGAGAACAAACACTACACTAAAGAGGTTGTGCATGCTCTGAGCTGCCTTTTGGAAAATTAGCAACAGTCTTTAAATCAATCATAAATGAGAGGACAGAACTGCAATGTGTGAATTGAAATGCTTCTTGGTCTTAATTTTAGGGTATGTTTCTGACACTTCAGGCTGGTTTAAATGGCTCTGAGTGCCCTAATGCCACACAAAGCTCAGATCAGTCTAATCATTATAAAACCTTCACAGATGTGCATGGGAAAGATTTTCTGTGGAAGTTGGAAAAATGAAACTGTAAATGCCTTCCAGCTGGCATGCTTAAATGTACTTCATCTCATTGGAGACATGTTCAGGTTAATTTCAGTTGATGACTGATAGCTCATCCAAATGTTACTCAAGATAATGTGAAGCAATTTTTCTTAGTGATGAACTCAGATAAGGGGATGATTATTGAAAAACATGTAGCTAACATTTGTCAATTGAAAAAAAATGATACCATTACAAAAATACAAAACTAAATTATATAATCTCTTAAAAAGAAGAAAGACTCAAGGTCGGCATGTAAAAAGCATAAGGCTAATTACACACATGCATATGGTGTACATTTTAGTTAAGTTCTGAGGGAGTTAACACCTTCGAGCCCAGTTGGTTTAGGTCATGCCATTTACATCCTGCTGTTCACAATAATGATGATAAGAAATGGGCTGCCTGCTATCACTAAATGCCAGCTATAGACCATATGGCAACAAGGCAACATCAAACTGAAAAAAATAACTATCTCAACATTTAACAAACTTGATGGTTTAAGATATGCAATCTATTACACATTTTCTTAACTCTTTTAAATTCATATTCTAGTCCTTGCTACTGGCTGCATTTCAGCTGTGTCTTGTGAATGTGAAAACAAACAGCATGCGTCTTAGTCTGTATTTTGTTGCACATAAGAGAATACCTGAAACTGGGTCATTTACAAAGAAAAGAAATTTATTTCACACAGTTATGGAGGCTAGGAAGTCCAAGGTTGAGGGGCTGTATCTGGTGAGAGCCTTTTTGATAGTGGGGACTCTGAAGAGTCCCAAAGAGGCTCAGGGTATCACATGGTGAGGAGGCTGAACATGTTAGCTCAAGTCTCTCTTTAGCTTTGCATAAAGTCAGCAGTCTTACTCCCATGATAACTCATTAATCCATTTACCCATTAATGGATGAAGCCATCCATGAGAGCAGAGACCTCATGACCCAATTAGCCCTAAGTTAATCACCTCTTAAGCACTGGGATTAAATTTCAACATAAGTTTTTAAGGGGACACATGTCCAAACCATAGCGGACTGTTAACAGAATCAGATAAACTGGAATATATGTTGGTTATTTTGGATGATTTCCTTCATTACACGATAACCACGCTCTTTATCAATGTCAGAATTCCAGAAAGAAAAACATAAATTAATGATGATGGTTGGTTGAGAACTTGTCTTAGTGTACAATTGATAAGCAGATTCAGGGCTTTGTGATTAAAAGCAATACATTTCTAACAAAAACAATACATATTTTAAGGAAAATTAAATATATCATAAATATAATTTTATTTGGAATTGAATTAATTGGTTGCCCTAACCACTCCAGTCATCAAATTTTTTGTATCAATTTCATAGTTACTCCACAAACCTTTTGGCATACACAAATTAAAAGTAACATACTTTGCACAGTCTAATGAGTGATTTCCTCTTCTGTAAAATTAGCCTACATGCTTCAAAGGTCTATGCAGCTTCAGCAGATTATGGTTCTAAAGTACGCTGTTCACAATGAAGTGAAAGATTCAAAATGAAAGAACTCATCCCACTTTCTCACTTCTACAAAACATTGTTTGGAGTTTTGTTGGATTTTCAAGTGCCTTTTGAGGCTGTTTTCGTCTGACTTCAAAAGCCAGTCCCAGACTTAGTTTTTACTGATTTCAAAAAGGCGTCACTGACTGTATAATATTGGTTAAAATTACTTTTTTGTTAAAGAAAGTTTAATAACTTCAAATTCTACCTGAATATTTCAGAATGTCATTCTCAAGATAAATGTTTAGAAATTTCTACTTTATATCTTTAGAAACATTATCCATTGGAGTTTTCCTACAACTCACATTTAAATGTATAAAATAGAAGGCCCTTGAGGCTATTTGCATCTGTGCAGAATTTTTAAAATTTTTTTGTGAGCAGCAATGCATTTTTGAAAGTATTTAAAGTGAAACTGAATTCATTTAAATGGCATTAGGGTTTTGTAAAATCTCTTTGTATTTTCATGTTTAAATCCCATGATGAAAACCAATCTCAGGTATCAGAGCATCAGGAGGGATAGGTGGAAAAATGAGGGACACAGCCCTGGGTAACAGACCTTTTAATTGTACAGCAGAGTGAAAAATTCAGCTTAGAAGCCTAAACTTAAAATTAGAGCTAACAGCTGATTTGTTGAAAAGTGTTATTCAATTTTGATTTGAGTGTAAACTACTCAAGGACTTGAAAAGAGAAAGAGAAATTGTTAAGGAACACAGTAAGAATTATAGTAAAAATTCATCATTGAATTTCAGAAAAGTCATCACTTACCCACTTCAATTTTTGTCAAAGGTTTTAGAGAATGGTGGGACAACTGTTCCATTACAATGCACGTTTGTTAACTACCACCGGCAATATGTGATAACGATTTTGGATCATTTGGAGAATTCTGTTCTCTTATACAGTTCTCCAATAAAAAGAACCAGGGCTCTTTAGAAAAATATTTGTTATTATGGCTGGTGTAAGGAACATATAAGAAAAGTCTACAGCATCTTGTAGTCTTCTTCTCACCCTCTGCCTATAAAAAGTACTCAAAAAACAAAACCATGGAGGGTTTTTCAAAGGGACACAGGAGACAGTGGCCAAAGCTAAAAAATTTGAACAACAAAATAAATAACATAGTATTGGATTTATCACCCAATGTATAAAACAAATACACATACTTTTTATAAGTACCTATTAGAATATGTGGGTAGTACTTCTATACATAAATGAATAAATAAGTACATAAATGAAGCAGAAACAAGTCTCTTGCACAAAATTATTCCAAGTAATTTATGTAGCATGTAACTTTAAAGAAAGCTGGCAAACACTGTCTCAGTCAGTTGATGAGTTTTAACATCACCAGGGTAAGTTGTGTTGATAACATGCGCCCCTTGATATCATGTGATAAGGAAGAGACATTTCACCTTTGTGATCTTGCTTTCTCAAACCCATAGTTTCAGTCTTAGAGACAAAATATTAGACAAACCCAATCTGAGGGACATTCTGTAGAATATATCACCACTAATCCTCAAAACTGCCAAGATCATGGAAAATATGGAAAGTCTAAAAAGAAACTTTCACAAACCAGAGGAGACAAAGGAGCCATGATGACTAAATGTAATACATACCTGGGACTGGACCTGTAACACAAAAGAGAACGGGACAATAGGAGGGAAAAAATGAATGAATTCTGATTTAAGTATGGAGTTTAATAATGATGTACCAGTATTGTTTATTAGTTGCACAAAACATACAACACTAATAAGACACAAACAATAGGGGAAACTAACTGTGGGGCACATGGGAACTCTCATATTTATAATTTTTTTCTGTAAATATAAAACTATTCTAAAATCAAAAGTTTAATATTCTTGGACTGTGACTGACCAAGTGTAACTGAAACCACAGAAAGCAAAACCATGTATAAAAGGAGGTTACTGCATAATTAAAAATCACATTATGTGTTACTATATGGGGATAAACGAGATCATGTTTTACATTTACCTTTTGAAGATAAGGATTCTCTAACCTATAGAAACTCCCTGCAGCAACCAATGCATTATCGAGAACTCAAGAAAAAAGATAATAATTGTGAAGTAATACTAATGATGGTAAACATTTTTAGTCTTTTACAAGTTACAACTTACTTTCATAAGTTTTGTCATGTTAGAGAATGAGTGATGACTCTATAAGGCACTTTGAGTTTTGTGGCAGGGGGAAGTATAATTTGCGACAATTTATTTCTCTGATACTCATATAAACTATAGCCATCATGCAAGTCTTCTATTGCCTAGTTATTCCAAAAGTCTTTGTAAACAAGATTTAATAAAATAGAAAATGCAAAACAATAAAATAAAATAAAACAAGCAACATACCTTTTGGAAGCTTTAGAAAACGCATAATCAAATTCCTTTTTTTTAAATGGAAAGCAATTCATGTTTTAAATTGCATGCTGTTCTGAGTAATGTAATGAAATCGCGTGCCATCCCACTCTGTCCTGCCTGGCTCGTGAATCATCTCTTTGTACAGCACATCCACACTGTCTATATTACCTGCTCATTAATCACTTAGTAACTAACCGTCTTGGTTGTTAGATCAACTATTGAGCATCACAGTGCTTGTGTTCAAGTAATCCTTATTTTACTTAATAATGTTCCTAAGTAGTAATGCTAGCAATTCAGATATGCTAAAGGGAAGCAGTCAATTGCTTCCTTTAGTGAAAATGTGAAAGTTCTTGACTTAATAAAGAAAGAAACATAATCATTTGCCAAGGTTGCTAAGACCTAGAGTAACAGCAAATATTCTATCCGTGAAGTTGTAAAGAAGAAAAAAGAAATTTGTGCTAGTTTTGTTGTCACACTTCAAAATGCAAAAGTTACAGCCCCAGTGCATAATAAATATTTAGTTAAGATGGAAAATGTGTGTATATAGGGTTTGGTACTATCTGCAGTTTCAGGATTCCACTGGGTATGTTGGAACATATCCCCCATATTCGTGTATAGACTGTATAGCTTTGACCTTAGGAAGGTTAAGCATAATTGTCCAGTTTGTTTGGTTTCTCTTGCCTGGGTCAAACCAAGAGCTCCATATGCTGAGTGATATGAATTACATTTGATGAGCCATTCTAATAAAGAAAGATAAAAATACTGAAAATATCTTTCACATGCACATGATTTGGCTTTGGAGTATGCAGACACTGGCTGACTTACCTCAATATGGCAAAACTGCGGACAGTAAGGCAAATTTGCTGAATGTTTATTTTCCTGAGTACACACTTTCCGAATATGAGTGAGTGATAAATTATTTTAAAATAAATTTGGACCTTAGCCCTCTTTTGAAATAAATCAGTGGTTGAAGAAAGAAGAAAACTAAAGCCAAAATGCAAATACACTTGTGAGACAGATTGACAGTGGTGGAGACTGCTGTGAGCTTTCTCTGTAGATTAAAAAAAAAGACACAGTTGGCATATAATATATTGCACATTTTAAAATGTACAATTTGGTAGTGACATATGTATGCCACCATGAAACAATCACTGCAATCAAAATAATGAACATATCCACCACCCCAAAGTATTCTGTGCCCACTTGTAATCTCTCCCTCTTACCCTTCTCCATACCTCCTTCATTCTTTTTTGCCCCAGCTTTATTGAGGTATAATTGACAAATAAAATTATAGAAGTTTAAGGCATAAAATGTGATGATTTAATATACATATATTGTGACTTGATTACCACAATCAAGTTATTTGATACATCTACCACCTCATGTAGTTACCAGTTTTTTGTTTGTTTGTTCGTTTTGTTTACCACCTCCATTCTTGTCCCCAGGTAACCAGTGATATACTATTCATGACTCTGGATTAGTTTGCATTTTTTAGAGTTTTCTTCAAAAGGGAGTGTACAGCATTTTTATTTTTATTGTTTAATCTGCCTATTTAATACAGCATTATGATTTTTGAGATTCGTCTGTGTTGTAGCATGTATCAATACTCAGTTCCTTTTTAATACCATTGTATAGATATAGCATAATTTATATATTCGTTCACCTGTTTATGAGCATTTGGGCTGCTTTCCAGTTTTTGCCTATTACAAGGAAGGCTGCTATGAACATTGTAATACAAGTCTCTGTATGGACATTGCCTCCTTTCCTCCTGGGTAAAGACCTATGAGTAGAATGATAGGATCACATGGTAGGATATGTGTTTAATTTTTTAAATAAATGGCCAAACAGTTTTCCAAAGCAGTTGTACTATTTTAAGTTTCTACCAGCAATGTATGAAAGTTCCAGTTTCTTCATATTCTCACTAATGTTAAAGTTTATACATTCTTGTAAATATGTAGAGATATCTCATTGTGATTTTAGCATGCTTTTCCCTAACAACTAGTGATGCTATACATCTTTTCTTGAGGTTATTTGCCATTAATATGTCTTCTTTAGTCAAGTGTCTGTTCAAATCTTTTGCACTATTGAGTTGTTTTCTTATGATTTTTGAGAATTCTTTATATATTTTAGATGCAAGTCCGGATGTATTAGGTCTATACTTTGCAAATACTTTCTCAAAGTCTGTAGGTTTCCTTCCCATTCTCCTAACAGAGTCTCTAGAAACACAGAGTATTTTACTTTGATTAAGTCTAATTTATTAATTTTTCTGTTAGTGATCATGATTTTGGTGTTATGTCTAAAAAAATCTTTGACTAGCCCAAGACAACAAAAATTTTCTTCTCTTTTTTTGTCTAGAAGTTTCATACTTCCAGATTTTACTTGTTAGTCTATGAACCATTTCAAGCTAATTTTCATATATGGTACAATGAATGGAGCAAAGGTCACATTTTTTGCAATGTCAATATATAATTGTAATAGTAGCATTTATTGTAAAGACTAGATTTTTTCAACTGAATTATTTTTGTACTAAGTTAAAAACCAGTTGGTTGACAAGTGTGGGCCTATTTCTGGAATTTCCATTATGTTCCACTGACCTATTTTTCTCTCTTCATTTCAATAGCATACTGTTGTAATTACTGTAGCTTCACAATAAGCTTTGAAATAAGGTAGTGTTAACCCTCCAACTTTGTTCATCTTTTTCCAAGTTGTTTTTGACTATTTTAGATCCTTTACATTTTCATATAAATTTAACAATAAGTAAAATTTTATTTTGTAATTTTCTTTTTGCTATAAAAAATGTGTGCTGGCATTTTGACCAAGATGGTGTTTTATCTATAGATTAATTCAGAAACAATTGACATCTTAATAGTATTGAGTTTTCCAACCCTTCAGCAAAATATATCTTCCTATTTTTTTCATGTCTTCTTCGCTTTTTTCTCAGCAATGTTTTGTAGTTTTTGGTTGATAGGCCCTGCACACTTCAGAGTGATAAATTCTTAAGTATTTCATATTTTTGTTGCTGTTATAGACAACATTTATAAAATTTTAATTTCTAGTTGTTGTTAGTTACTGCAAATAAACCGCCATCATTATACACTGCTTCTGTGAGTTTGACTGTTGTAGATTCCACATATAAATGAGACCATACAGTATTTTTCTTTTGGTACTGGCTTATTTCACTTAGCATAATGTCCTCCAGGTTCATCCATGTTGTTGCAAACAGCAGAATTTCCTTTTTTATGGCTGAATAATATTTCCTTACACACACACACACAGACACACACATATGTGTATTTGTACCACATTTTTCTTATTCACTCATCTATCAGTGGGCATGTATGTTGTTTCCATATCTTGGCTAGTGTAAATAATGTGGCAATGAACATGGGAGTGAACAGAGCTCTTCAAGATAATGGTTTTATTTCATTTGAATATGTACCCAGAAGTGAGATTGCTGGACCATATGGTAGTTCAATTTTTAACTTTTTAAAGAATCTTCCTGCTGTTTTCCATAATGGTGGTACCAATATATATTTCTATCAATACTGTACAAGGGTTCCCTTTTCTCCATACCCTTGCCAACACTTGGTATCTCTTTTGTTTTCATAATAGACATCCCAATAGGTGTGAGGTGATATCTCATTGTGGTTTTGATGTGCAATTCCCTGATGACTAGTGATGCCAGGTTAAAGGGCCACTTTGGAGGCTGCTAGTTGTCCACCAAAATCTATTCCCCAGGTCTTCCACAATATTAGAATTATAGCCAGGCCATGGCTGCCCTGCTGAGCATTAGAATTTTTAGCTCCTTTTGGAGTCAGTTGTGGGTAGGAGGCTAAGTTCTCACTCTTAGAATGTGAGTCCAAGGGAAATGTACCAATTCCAGTACCAGCCTCACACATGCCCTTTTCCATGCTCTTTCCCCTTCCCATTAACTGGAATATGGGACCAGCTTCAACTCTGCAGATGAGAACACACCATAGGGTAGCAGTTCTTAAACATTTGGTTCTTATAACCCCTTTGTATTTTACAAATTGCCAAGGACCCCGAGTTTTGCTTATGTAGGTTATATCTATTCACATTTATCATATTGGAAATTAAAACTCAGAAACTAAAAAAATTTATAGTTAATTTAAAAATAATAATGATAAACCTATTTTATTTATATAGTTTTATCAAATATATATTTTTATAAACATTATTTTATGAAAATAACTATATTTGTAAAGCAAAAACATTGAGAAGTGTGATATTATTTTATATTTTTACAAATCTCTTTAATGTCTTCCTTAAAAAAGAAAACCTGTATTTTCCTGTCTGTATCTGTGCCCTATTCATTGTGATATATTGTTTTGGCTGAAGTATAAATGTAAAAAAAATCCAGGTTCACACAAATATGCATTTGGAAAAGACAAGTGTGTTTTTTAGTCTTTTAGATAGTTGTGGATGCTCTTTTTAAATTTTTTTATCAAAGCTCAACAAGTGGTAGTTTGTTAAAAATTAGTTAAATTGTATATTCTCAAACCATGTCAGTAAACTTTTCATATTTCCTTTTGCTAAAATCCATCAGTCTTTGAATAGATTTTCCCATGATGTTAAAAAATGCTTTTTTAAAAAGATAACTATTAAGAAAATGTTGTTTCAATTGCAACAAAAGCGAGAATTGACAAATGGGATCTAATTAAACTAAAAAGATACTGCACAGCAAAAAGAACTATCAACAGAGAAAGCAGACATAGAAGGGGAGGAAATTTTTGCAAATTATGCATTTGACAAAGGTTTAATATTCAGCATCTATAAGAAATCTAAACAAATTTAGAAGAGAAAAACAACCCCATTAAAAAGTGGGCAAAGGACATGAATAGACACTTTTCAAAAGAAGACATACTTGCAGCCAAAAACCATATGAAAAAAGCTCAACATCACTGATCATTTGATGCCATCTCACCCTAGTCAGAATGACTATTATTAAAAAGTCAAAAAATAACAGGTGCTGGCAAGATTGCAGATAAAAAGGAATACTTATACACTGTTGGTGAAAATGTAAATTAGTTCAACCATTGTGGAAAAACGTGTGGAGATTCCTCAAAGACATAAAAACAGAATTACCATTTGACGCAGCAATCCCATTACTGGGTATATACCCGAAGGAATATAAA